AATAATAATAATAATAATAGTAATAATAATAATAATAATAATAATAATAATAATAATAATAATAATAATAATAATAATAATGCACGCAAGAAACAAAATATTAATGATAACAATAATAATAAAAACAACAATAATAAAAATAAAAATAATAAAAAACAATAACAATTATATTAATAACAATTATGTTAACAATGTTAATCCGATAGTTGATGGTAATATGATGAGGTCGCTTAGCCTTTCTTCAAATAGTTCTCAACAAAATTGCAATTATCTACAACATAGAGCTTCATCTACTCCATCACTCAATAACAACAACAACAACAACAATAACAACAATAACAATAGCACTAATAATAATAATGATAATAATAATAATAATAAAAAGAAAGAGGGCCCACTTTTATTTGATTATACTTTACAAATACCATACGAAGGAGTTAAACCTAACCAAGGTATTTATTATAATAAATATTATCTACATTAATATTTTTTTAATAATAATAAATAATAAATTATATTAATATATGTGATGGGTTTTTTATCAAATTTAGCTAATGAACCACCAAAACCAAGTCATATACTTGAACTTTATGATTTTGCAGAGTCAGACAATCTAGCAAATATTGTATTGATGAATGCAACTATTAAACGCGTTTATCCTCCTTCAACAAGCAACAATAACATATTACCAAACAGACGGCCTACAGTCCTTGCAATATTTAAAAATTCTAAAGAAGCCAATAAGTCGGTTCAAACATTTAAAAGTTCCAGGTTTAAACTTAGAACATGGGAACCTTTACCGAAAAATAATAACATCAATGGTAATCTTAGTATTAGTAGTGGTAGTAATGACAATAATGAAAATTCTACAATCTCAGTTGCTCAATTATTGGGATCATCTACTTAATCGACAACTTCTTGTTCATTTATTGATTAATAAATCAGCCAACCAATAATCATATTGTATATATTGTTTAGTATAAACACTTGTTATAAAAAAGTTTAATTACATAAATGTATCTTTACTACCACTACTACTACTATTATTATTACTATTTAAAACAATTTCTCCTTTTTTTCTTTTTTTTTTCTTTTTTTCTTTTATTTCTTTTATTTTTTTTTTCCTTTTCTCAAATTCATATATATATTAACTTAATTACAATAAATAGAACATTTGCAATATATACACATTTATATTCATGCCACCACATTGATTTTATGCCAAATTTTTTTGAAAGCGCTAAAATTGTTGTGACCATAGTAACTGAAGTGATTGTTTGTAATAAAATACATTGATAAATAACTTCTTGTTTATGAGATCCTTCTTATTCGATTTACTTGGTAACACTTGTTTAATCTTATAAATGTTATTATATACCGATTTTCAAATAGACTATATATTCTACCGTTTAGTATAATTTTCTAATTGTAGAATGAAATTATCCGATTGATGACAAGTTGACCACCAACTTTTTGATGTTTCATGATTTCAAAGGAATCACATATCACAGAAAGTACAATTTTCTGAATACTTTGAAAATTTTGGCATTGAAGTTTTATAGATATCACCATCTATCTATTCTATCATTGAAATTCGCCCGTATTTCATTTCACGAGAATTTTTAAAAAAGGCGAATTGGCAATGTAAAACAAAATAATATTTTAAATATTAACCTGCCTCAATACTTTGGATGAAGGAAAAATGCAAGATGATATATCATTATGCCTAGTTTTGCTAAAAATCTCAATAAATAAAAATGAGCATCCATAGGAGATGGTATAGTTTTAATCGCGATTGCCACTTTGATAAGATGAAGTCATATTACTTGACTTGCCTGGCTCTATAAACTTGACTCCTTATTGATAAATTTATATTGGTGCAAAAAGTGATCCTAATTCCATAAAAAGATATCAAATATTGAAACCTACTCGTATGGATCTCGAGAGTCAAGAATATCTTTATAATAACATTTGCCCATTGGTAAAAGATGAATTTTTAAAAAATCACTCACTTGTCCAAAACCAACACAAAATGCCGGAAAATTATTTTATCTGCTACACCATCTTTTAGGGTTTCGATTCCCCATTTTAATTCGGGTATGTAAAAATCGATTCCTCCGTTAACAGAAAAAAAATTTTCCGGCTTCCGGTGAGATGTATTTGCCATACGATTTCAGATAAATGGCGCCGTTTTTGATTTACCTATATTGTATATTAACGTTTTTCTATCAATTCTCGGATATTGATTCTTTTGGTGATTCGGTCAACGAGAACCCTTTTTCCATTTGTCTCAATTTGTCGGTAGTAGTAGTGGTAATGACATTGTGTCGTTTTCAGAAGTGATCATCAATGTTATGAGCCTGTCTTCATTCAATTACACTATTATTGAGATATAATAATATTAATATATAATAATTTTCTCGAAATTGTAAAATCATCCATCTAATCATTTGTCATGATTTTTGTGTTAACATCCTTTTATTGGTTGATTATTCATCTTATGATATTAATTTATTAAGATAAATAAAAAATTCTCTTTTATTTTTTAAGAATTTCCTTTTAAAATAATAATGTCGTTACGGAATTCATTTCCAAGAATCAACGCTAATTCCATCATTCCCTCTTCCTCGATTAATAATGATAAAGTATTTCGACCTGATTTGAATATAAAACTTGCCTGTTCACAATGCAACAATCAAAGACCAAAAATAATTGAGGAATACACGTCAGGAGACTTAGTGTGTGGTGATTGTGGACTAGTTCTTGAAGATCGTATAATTGACACAAGTTCAGAATGGCGTAACTTTGCTAATAATGACGAAGGTAATAATGATCCATCAAGAGTTGGAGCCCTCGTATTTGATGGCGAACAACTAGATGCTACTATTATTTCGAAAACAAACAGTTATACCAGTTCTAGTAAATTTGCTAGTGATGATCAATCTTTTTCTAGAAAAACTAATTTAAGTAAAATTCAAGCTAACATGAATAAAGATAGTTTGAGACAGCCGTTCAAAGAAATTGATTCAATGTGTAGTTTACTAGATTTGAAAAAAGATGTGTCAGATACATCAAAACAACTTTACAAAAGAATAGTAGACGAGAAGCTATTTAGATCAAGAAAGGATAAAAATTATGTATTCGCTACATGCATCTACATTGCCTGTCGAATCAAAAAAGTTGGTAGAACCATGCTTGAAATCAGTTCAGCTACACAAGTACTAAAAACCGAGATTGTTAAATGTTTCAGTGTGTTGACGAAAACATTTGAATTGAATTTGGGTGTTATGACATCTGAAGATTTAATAACAAGATTTTGTAATCGTTTACAATTGTCGCCGGAAATTACAAAAATCTCATTGGACGTTAGTAAACAAGCTGAATCATTGGGTCATTTTACAGGTCGAACCCAAACCACAATTGCTGCTGGATGTATATATTTTGTTTGTAGGCTTAAAAATGAACACGACGTTAATAATAATACCAACAATATAAATGAGATTGCTAAAGTTGCTGGAGTTGGTGCATCTTCTATCAAATTTATCCAACGTGAATTGTACGCAATCCGTGATAAAGTCTTATTGGATTCTTCTAATCTTCAACAAAATCAATAAAAAATTCCATCAAAAAGATGAATAAATAAATATTTCTAAATTAGTTATAATAATTTTAATTGGTTAGCTTTTGCAAAAATATAAAATTCGCAAACTTGGTTATTATTTTATTGCAGTAAGAATTAAACTTTGAAAGGTAATGATTGTATTGGTTTGACCCAACCAGTAATTACAAATTCCTGAAAAACTTTATTATATGACCAATATTCTGGTCTGAATTTGTGAAAGAATTCTAATGTTAAGCATCTTAGTAATTACACTTTCAAAAAATATCAGAAGAAAATTCGACTAATTCTTTTTATATATAAATTTTTTTTGTGAATAATAATAATAATAATAATAATAATAATAACAATAATAACAATAATGAATTTATTGAGATGGTTATTATTAATAAATTGAATAATTTGACTTTAATTTACACTACATCATTGCCACCATTAGAAAGAACATCCAAAATCAATTCAGTGGTAGAGCCAAGAGATTTTATCAAGAAAACAATCAAACTACTGCAAATACAACTCCAAATGCAGCTCCAAGGAAAAGACCACCAAATAAATAATGTATTAATACCACCGATTGCTGTCAGAATGCTAAATACAACAGGCATAACGAATAAAGCAATGAATCCACAAATCACCAATGTGCAAAGATAAAAATAATGCCAGACTGGATGATCTTCTTGTAACTCTTTAGAATTCATAATGTAAAATGCTAAATTTTTTACAATGTTTCCATTTGAATTCTTTGTTGCACTTGGGATTCTATCATCAATGTTTGATTAAATTTTTCTCTGAAATCATTATTATCATATTTTGATATAAAATTAGTTCTTAATAAATATTACAAAGAAAAAAAGAATTTAGAATTAGTATTATAGAAAAGGAACGAGTATTATTGAATGAATGAATGAATACCATTATCATTTTGTTTATTATATTTGATGATGCCATGATAAATTTGTAAAAAAAAATTTGTGAACAAATGAATGGTAATATTCAATTTTATAAAAATATATGCAAAATAGAAAAATAAAAAAATACATGTTCTTACTAAACATTTTTCTTAAAAAAAAAAAGATATTGCTTTAAAATTTTCAATGAGGTAAACCCAAACTCACTGCCATATTTGACATTAAATGACTATTATTTCTTTCCTCCTTGATTGATCTTAGTATTAGTATCTGGTTTTTTAGGGGTTGACATGCATGTAAAAATCCAATTGGTTATGAGGTCAAGTTTCTTTGAATGAATTAAATGTCAAACCTTTGGGTTTGATAGCTTTGAATGTTTCTTGTACAGTTTGAATGGACCTTGTTTCAATGGATTTTTGTTTCAACGGGTTTTTGTTTTGATCCCTTGTTTTTATTAATTAAAAAATTATTATTCCAATGGTAAATCGCGTTCAATGGACAATGGATTTTTTGGTAATAAATATTAATCATGTTACAATGGATTCATTAAAATTTTCCCAATATATATTAATATACGCAGAAAAATCAAATTTTTTTCAATACCAAAATTCCAAAAATCAACAGAAAAAAATTTTTTTGCATAATTAAAGGAAATAAAAAATACATAAACATTCATCTGAGATTTATTTTATTTGTATACACAGAAAAATTTTTTCTTGCCTTGCAAGATAAAAGTATAATAACTTTTTTTAATAAAAGGCTACTATTAGTGATTTCCCCCCCGCCAATCACTTTTACTATGTAGTATTCACTGATTCGTCAATAAGTAAAAACATACATGTAAATTACAATACATATTTTTTAGGTTTCTTTTCACCAGAATAATAACATACATTGTGTAAGGAATTAAAACTTACATTTCCCGGGTTTTCCTTCACCAGAATAATAACATACATCATGTAAGGAATTAAAACTTACATTTCATGAGTTTTCCGTTCATCAAAATAATGACATACATCATGTAGGGAATTTGATACATTTCTTGAATGTATTTAAAATTTAATGATTTCAAAACTTACATTGGGTGAGTTCATTCCATATTTAAATTTTATTTTTTACATATTTCCATACTTTTATTTTCTATAGGCAACATATTTGCTTGCAAAGGAAACATGTTAGAATCATACATGTTTACATGTGGCGGCGGTGGTTGTCCAC